AGGGGTCCCCCCATGGTCCCCTCCCATGCCCCTACTTACCAGCTCCAAGTCTGGCTGCAGCTCCCTGCTGCAGCCACTGGGGACTGTCCAATTCATCAAAGCTCTCCAGATCTTTTCTGAAGATTCAGAGAGCTTTGAATCTATTTAGACCTTTTAATTGGTCCCCTGATTCAATTTGGATTGGGAGATTCGGCCACCGAATCTAGCCAAATCTTCTCTGAATTGAATCGCCACCTGAAGCTTCGCACAGTCCTACCAAAAAGCCCAGCTGAAGCACCCAATCTATACAGACATTGGTTGAGCTGGGTAAAGCTATCTCAATGCCTCTTCTGAGCATGTACTGGGCTTGGTACAGGAGCATGCTGAATTTAAAGTACCATTTTGGGGTGGGGAAGGGGGTTGGGGACTTTTTTGTCTGTAAGCAGCCCTTGAGATCTATGGATCAGAACATTCTATACATGCTAGGTCCACGTATTATTTCCTTGAAATATGTTGGTAGAGGTTTGGGTTTACCTTAAAAAGCTTTCTTAGCAATAGTAGATGAAATATATTTTCATTCCTGTTCTGAATAGTATACATCTTAGTACTCTGTGTCTTAACTGCAGAGTCTCTTTGAAGTTTCTCCAGTCATGCAGGAATTTAACTCAATTTTACTTTATTATGCTGAACTGTCATTTATGAACTGTGTTCATATTCTTTAGACCTAGGACTCTTTTCTACCAAAACGTTGGTAGAAGCAAATAATGAACACATAGTAGAGGTGAGGACACAATTATTACAACCAGCAGATGAAAACTGGGACCCCACTGGAACAAAGAAAATCTGGCGTTGTGAAAGCAGTAGATCTCATACTACAATTGCTAAATATGCACAGTACCAGGCCTCCTCATTCCAGGAGTCATTGCGGGTAAGTAGATGGTTCATATATATCTTGCAGTTTATAAGTACATTAATACTGCAGCCAGCTTTTTCATATTAATTGCTTCTGAAAAAATCACGTTCATGTCATTTAAGGGAAAGAAAATTCCCATTAACATTGAAAAGTACAATTAAGCACACCTATCCTCTGTACATGGGTGGGCAAATGGAATACAAGATGTTCCTCAAAAACACCTTTAGCTTTCTAATTTTTTTTATTATTTTAGTGTAAAGGTACTAGTTATTACATGCTTTTAAACATGTAATTTAAACTGATATATAATGGTATCTAAATTAAAATTAAAACTTTGTTCAGAACTTTAATTCTTTATCATATCTTAACTTAAAATTAGGTGCATTTCAAAATCAGATCTCTATAGGGTGGTGAGATGTTGTTTATGTGCTGTTTTTTAGAAGCCCACATGCACTGCACTGTTTTCCTTCAACTCGGTATTTGATGCAAGGGAGAAATATGTATTTTTGGAAACATGGTTGTTAATGCTTTCCATATTTGCTGTTATATAATTACCTTGTCAGGTTCCAAACACCATTTTTTTTTCATTACAGAGTTGTTTCACATACCTGAGAGAGAAATATTCCATGAGTCTTTTAAACATGTGTCAATCATAAGTTTTAATGAAAAAATATTAGATTTTGTGTCATTCTATGTTAGGTGTGAGCATATCTTTGGAATGATCTTGGGAACGCATCAAGATCCTCTCAGGTGTAATCCTAATTGAATGAAAAATCAACGCTAAGTAGAGCAAAGGATTAAAATTATCACAGGCCACCTCTCTTTAAAGATAGTAAGAATTAGCAGTTCTAGAAGCTGTGGACTGGCATTTTCAGTGGAAACTGGAAAAAAGAGGTTGTGGCTTGAATTAGGTGAAGAGGAAAAGAGAAAACCTAGGTTAAAATTTATCCTCAACATTTCTCATACAAGGAGGAATGGGCTTTGGGAGCAAGTTAAGCCTTGGTAGATATTATGTTTATGGCACCAGTAATATGGTAGTAGTGTCATAAATTGCAACATGCCACATGTTCAGCTAATTTATGGCATGGTAATATAAGGTAGAACATCTTCATGACTGATTTGTATTGCATATTAAATTTGAACATGTGGCATGTATTAAAAACCTGGAGCTGCCCTATGCCTCATTACAACACTCAAATGAGCATCAGAATGGGATACAGGGCAGCCCAGGGCTCCATACATGGAACATCCCTAGCAATCCCATGCTTGGGATCTGAGGAATTTTATACCCTGTCTCAAGCGTTGTATGTCCTGCCATGCATGTGTGGCACGGCAGGGCACGCAGTGTTTGAGATGCAGCAGATCCAGATTGTATCATTATTTTGAAGTCTGCCAGCTGTTCCAGGAATATATATGGATGTCTGTAATAGGAGAGAAAGCTTAGGTCTGTAACTGCAGAAAACATGAAAGGGATTTTTCCAGTAGTAGTGATCTTTACAGTGGTAATGCTATTCAGCTATTTCAGCTATTACAGTGCTGAAATGTTATTTCAGTTTGAAAAATGCAAGAGCTCTTATATAATAGATTTTATAAATATTAGTCATCTTGAGATTCATTTGAGAAGATTTCAGCTGCCTTTTAAGGGAGATAATTTTTCAGGCATAATGAAATTGACAGCATTTCTTTTAGGATGGATCCATGTTTTGCCTTCATCTGTACAGTACAGCTGATCAACCATTTTGTGCATATGAACATTATGAATATTTCCCTATAGACATGGTCTATTGTTCAGAGATAGACTTTGATATAATTGTGGCCATGAGAGGCTTTTGCAGTTTTTGGCCATCAAAAATGTAAGGAAGTGTACAGGTTTTACCCTGTCAGTCCATATAAAAATAACAGATGCAAAGACTTATCTTATTGAATTTGCCCTGTAGAATGTAAACCTGGTATTGCTATATGAAAGTGATGAGAAATCTCATGTTTGGGCTTTCCAGGAGGAAAACGAGAAAAAGAGTCACCACAAGGACCATTCAGATAATGAATCCACATCTTCAGATAAGTGAGTCTGGTATTAGAAGTATACTTCTATAGTGTCTGTTCCAAAGGGTCTACTTCATACATTTTCATAATTATTTACAGCTCTGGGAGGAGGAGAAGAGGACCTTTTAAAACAATCAAATTTGGGACCAACATAGACCTGTCAGATGACAAAAAGTAAGTCTAGCAACAATTGTTTATTGTATTTATAAACAATTCAGTCAGTATGCCTGCCCATGATTTACCTAGATGGTTTCTTATTGAATTTTCTTTCTTATAAATAAAAATATGCATAGTACACCCCTTTTATTTTCTGATGTCTGATATTTTTTTTTGCTCTCTGATTATATTTAGAATCATAGAGAAGTATAGGGCTGGAAGGGACCTCAAGTGGTCATCTAAACCAACCCCCTTCCTAAGGCAGGATCTTCCCCATCCAAACCATCCTATACAAATCCATTACCTAACCTCTTAGCAAATCCACACAGGCAATCCTGACACAACGCAAGACTATAACACCCTAACCTGCCACAGGAGGACCATGGAGACCAATGTCCTGCTGCAGTAGAGGTTGTTAATAAACACTCAAGACATTCTAGGTAGAGGACCCCCCCTACTCCTTTGCATCCCCCCCAAGACTCCCATAATCCATACCAGTATGACTATGGGGTAAAATTCCTTCCTGCCTCCAAGTATGTCAATAAGTCTGACCCTAAGCAGAAAGGTAAGACCATCTAGCCAGCAACTTCTGGGTTTTAATCCCAGCCGAAGCATTGGTGCACCCAAGTCTGAATTCCCAACCTTGGCCAAAGCCAACACCCAGTGCCTCTGAGGAAGGCATAAAAAACCCTTACACGTGTAGCAGCAGGAAGGGGATTCCCTCCCAGCTCTGTGCAGCAACCAGCAAAGCCCAGAAGCATGGGAAGTACCTATAGATTTTTATTTCTTTCTGATATATTCAGAGTACCTTGTCACTAACTCCATAATATGTTTCTGCAATTTAAGCTGTATACATTTTTCAAGTAATACCAGCAGTGCTTTATTGACATGCAAGAAACTCGTATATCTGCGAGGTTTCAGAAATCCTACCTTCCTGACCTATTTAAGGCTAACGGTTTGCACAAGTAAAATCTTGGTGTTTTGAGATGGATATATACTAAATTAGCAAAAGCAAGACATTCACGGCATGATGGAGAAATTACTTTAAAAGGCAATTTTTTGTATTTATCCTAGAAGACGACACAAACAGAAGGATTTTACCACAAGGCCCATTAAAGCAGTCTCCGGGCGTTTCCCAATTACAACTCCCAATCACATTAGCAGAATAGAAGGAAAACAAACTTCAGAAGAAAAACAATTCTTGTAATACCAGCACATGCTTCTTCTATACAAAATATACCTTTACTTATTCCTTAATTCAGGGGTGTCATACTTGCCTTGTGCCCCAGGCTGGATCTAAACTGTGAGGGTCCTTGCAGGCCAGGTCCAGCCTAGGGCACAGATGGTACCAGCAGTGGCATTTCTGGCTCTGGAATGGGACATGCAACATCTCCAGCTCCCAGTGTGTCCCCCATGCTCGAGCCACACCAGCTCTAACTCTGGCACAGGGCATGTGGGTGTTCCAGCATGTACATATAAGGCCCTGTTTTCAGTTGTTTAAAACTTTGAGAAGCTTCTACCATTTAGCTAAAGTTTGTCCTGCTTTCAGTCAAATTTCTGTTTAACTGAAAATTACAAGTCAGACATTTTTGAGTGAAGTCCTTGTGTGTGTGTGTTCAGGTGTACATTATATTTGCTTTTCCAGACCATCTCATTTTTGTTTGTCTTAACATTCAGTTTTTAATCTGCCATCCTGCCTTCTTATTCTGATCTTTATACTTCATCTTTTGTCTCTTCTCATCTTGCCCCTTTTTCACTTTGATCTGTGTTTTTTTTGATCCTACTGTCTCCACCTTTATTGCATTCACTTTTTGCTTTCAAAGCTGGCTTTTTCTATCACTGCTCTCTCTTTCAACAGCCCCTTATTAGATCTTTCATCCTTGACTTGTAGAACATAGCAGGAACAGTGGGTTTTCCCCTTACTGCTTTACCCAACTACCACTATTCCTCTTTGACGGTCACTCGGTTAGGCTTTTTTTAATCCTGTTTTTCCCTAGCAAACAGGATGAGGTATGGCTCCTTGGATCATTTGTCTCTGAACTGACTCACAACTTTTGTTCCAATGACTTTAGATTTCATCTGGACAATTTATTTCTGCTCTCTGTTATTTTGAATAACCTATTCCTCTGATCTGTTCTTGGCTTTCTTCCACTAATATTTTGTTCTTTTCACTTGTGTTTTACCAAACACCACCACTGTTGATGTTTCTGCTCAAATTCCCTCTGATGAACTTCAGTGTCATGAACATTTCCATTTTCTCCTTTCTGGTCTCCTCTTCCTTGATTTTTCTCTTCAGCAACGTTTGATTAATGTAAAGCTTGTCTCCAAGCCATAAACAAATCAGTCCAGGTTAGGATTTACTTCCTGTTAGACTTGAGCTTAGCCCAGAATCTGAGCAGAAACTCTAGAACTATAAAATTAGGTGTGTTCAGCTATTATCTGAACAATGTATACCAAATTAATTCTTTTTATGGAGTTTAAACTTAAAATAACTTTATATTCATTTCTACCTTCCCTCTGTTTAGCTCTGATACCTTGCTGGCTCTTCCCCAAATAAATTGGGATCCCCTGCAGCTTGGACCCCAGGCTCACACACTTAGATGTTGCTGAGTTCTTGACCATCTTCTTTTCAGACATGAGAGGGTGAACACCAAAATGTTGATGGATGGCAAAAAGAAGGGCTGCCTGAACTCCCACAATTTTCTCTTGGATCAGCTCCATTCTGTAGCGTATCAGCTGTTCTTTCAACCGCATCTTTGTGTTTAGGGTTTTAAGCAATGGGTTTCTTCTCACGTACGTTACCTAAGATCACTGGAATCAAACATACCGCTTCCCAGTAGTATCACTTCATTGTTAGTAAAAAGCACTTCTTTAATAACTGGGGAAAAGATTTTTGTAATTTATGCTAGTCACATCAGAGCCTCAGATGCTGAAATTGAGGTTTTGTCTATATGCCATCTCCACTAACAGAGTCGAGGTTTGATGGTTTTCATTTAACTTTCACCTCTTTAGTAAATGACTGCTTGAGATGACCAGGTTCAGGAGGAGAACATGAGATGGGGATTTGCATCTGTACTTTTATAATGTTGAATTCAAGAAAAGACATTTGAAATTAGGGGTTGTGTGCTGGTGCTTGCATTGAGATATTACGGATGGGTTTGCTGAAATTTCAGTGTGTGCAGTCGTCTGTGATTGAAGGCAGTAATAATTTGCAAGATTACACAACAATGTTTTTCTTAGACTTAGGGTAATTTGCAGCCATGGTTCTACAGCACAATTAGTAAGTGAAACTTCAGAACAGCCCTGTGAGACGGATACCTTATCAACGTTTTAAACGTAGAGAAACTGAGGCCCTGACTGTGTTTGGTTATGAGTACCTAAGCAATTCTGTTAGAATCAGAAATAGAAATTGCATCATCTTACTTCCACTCCTGTGCTTTTGCTGTAAGATCATCTTCCCTCAATAACCTTTCTGAGCTTGGCTACATTATGTGGCTACTATTCCTGCAGCTTTCCTGGCAGAGCTCCTTACTGGAGACGAGGTTTATGGTAACAGTGGGAATTTTTCTACTGTCTTAGATTCAGTACCTCCTCAGAAACAGAAATCCTGTTGACAGTGCTCCATCAGTTTTATCCAGGTGTGTGGGAGGTTAGCTGGCAGAGCTATGTTACTGAAGGGGAGTGGTCTCTTTATAGCCTTATCAAACAGTAAAACTTGAACCAAGTTTTGATCATGCAATTAAACTTAAAAATAACCAAACATAAAGCATAGCATGTATATGATGATGATTACCATGTTATGTCTCTAAATTTAAAATGGTAGGGAGCAAGAATGCAGTTAAGGATCTTCTTTTTTCTGAGACCAGTATAAAAGGAGGCAAGACTTTTTTTCCCTGTAGGTAAGTGCTCTTGTACATGGCCTTGCTCTGAAGTAGTTGTGGATATTGTGGTTGCACACGCACTATACATGCTCAGTCACCATTGTGCAGATGAGTTAGTTGCCACTGGCACATGCAGTTTTCTTAAAATTTAGTCCAGAATCTTGATCTTAAAATTAAGAATCAGGTTATTGTTACTGCTTGCATTAAATTGGCAGCTGGATTCTTGTATTTCCACATTGAGGCATAACATCTTGTTTTTCAAAGTTTTCTCCAGGAAGCACTAAAACATTCAGTAGAAGTTTCTGTTCTCATAACCCATATAATTAACAGTTCTAAGAAACCCACTGTTTATATTTCCCAAAATATTCCAGGAACTTTAGGGAGTCACTGTTTGTTGATTTGCTATTTTACTGCAGGTGGAAGTTACAACTCCATGAACTGACGAAACTTCCTGCTTTTGTACGTGTGGTATCAGCAGGAAATCTTTTAAGCCATGTTGGTCATACAATCCTGGGAATGAACACAGTGCAGTTATACATGAAGGTTCCAGGGAGTAGAACACCAGGTGAGTACAATTGCTTTCCATGAAAAAAATAGTATTATGGTAAATACAGTGTTAATTTGGCTGTGTTGCATGTATCTTGTGTACATCCCTGTAATAAAAAATTAAAAAGTATCAGCTTAAATATAATTTTAGGTAAGCTGTATACATGACATAATAGTTGATATCTTCTACTGTAACTGACTTCTAGAACTCTTCAGTTGTCACGGTTCGTTATATGTTTATTGCCTGCTAGCTTCATGTAATTAATTGACTGTTTCTCTAAGAAAACTAAGAGAGACGCATAAATATGGATTCTTTGACATTCCCATATTGCAAGTTTCCATAGGTTTTTATAGCAAGCTTATAAGTTCCTGAAACACAAACGTTACAAGTAAGCTTCTATAGCTAAATGTTAATTACCTTATACTCTTTGTTATTTGAGGGTAAAATGCATCCCTCCATATTGAGAATTTAGTGGTTGGGGCACTGAGCAAGCATTTTGAGGATCTTTTTTAAAAATCCTACTCCTGCCTTAGACTTCACATACAAATTTGGGCAGTTCCTTTCAGTGTCCATGCTTCAATTTCCCATCTGTCAATTAGGACTAGTATTTCCTTCAGCTTTTCAGTGTGAATAAAAGGTCTTTGGGGCAGGGACTGTTACTTGCTCTGTGTTAGTACAGTGCTTGAAATAGAGTCCCAGTTTTGGTTCAGGCCTTTAGTTGCTACCAGAATAAAATAACTTAATGATTACTGCTTAACTGAAGCTTGAGTCCAGCAAAGTTCTTAAGCTCTACAAGAGGGAAGCTACAAGGTGTTAGAGAAATCAAAAAGTTGAGGAATCCTGTAGCAGAACTAATACCAGTAATATGAAATTGTATTTTTAAAAATGGTAGGAATTCCATGTTCTAGGGCAGGACTGTCAGACTCACCTTGTACCCAGAGCTGGATCCAGACCACAGGGCTCCTTGCAGGCCATATCCAGTAGGCCTGTGTGAAGCAGCAAGTATTTGCTTCGGTTTCGGATTCGGCTGATTTGGAGGGACAGGGATTCAATTTGGTGATTCGAATCATTGTCCCGATTCAATTTCACCGATTTTCGGATTTGGAGATTTGGCATCAATTCAGAGATATATAGTCATAGACTATACATGCAGTCCTCGACAACACTGGACACAGTTGCCTCCAGCTGGTAAGTCTGTTGTGGTGGGCAGAGGGAAGGGGAATGGCGGGGGGGTGGGTGCAGATCAACACCCCCCACAGCAAGGGAGGGATTGGGGCTGGGACAGGGACAAGCTGCCTGGGTGTGGGACTCAGGGAGGGGGCGCTCCTGCCACTGTGCGCCACAGTGCATCACCAGTCCAGGAGCTGGTGGCTCCTCCGGCGGCTCTTGCCAACAGTCCAGAAGGGAGTGGGCGTGTGCCCCCAGATCTGTGCGGGGCAGACTGGGCCTGGCTGTACTCTAGGAGGCTAGCTGCCTGCCGCTGGGCTGTGCTCCACAGGGCAGGTGGAGCCAGGGCTGTGCTCTGGGTGGCAAGCCTCTGTTGCTGGGCTGTGCCCTGTGGGGTGGGTGGAGCCAGGCCTGTGGCTGAGGTTAGCTGGCCAGAGCGTAACCCTGGCTTTGCCCGCCCTGAGGAGTGCAGCCCAGTGATGGACAGTTGAGGCTAGCCTCGTGGAGCATGTCCAGCAGTGGGGGGTGGCTGCCCAGAGCACAGTCCTGGCTCCACCTGCCCCGCAGTGTGCAGCCCAGCATCAGGGGCTTGCCACCTGGAGTGCAGCCCTGGCTCCACCTGCCCCATGGAGCGCAGCCTGGTGGTGGGTGACTGGAGCTAACCTCCCAGAGCACAGCCAGGCCCAGCCCACCCTGCGCAGATTCCCACTCCCACAGTAGCTGCTGGAGGAGCCACCAGAAGAGCAGCACCCGGACCAGCGGCATGCAGTGACAGGAGTCCGCCTCCCTGAGTCCTGTACCTCCTTGCCTCGGCTGGGCAGCTTGTCCCAACCCCAATCCCTCTGCTGCGGGGGCGTTGATTTCCACCACCACTCTCCTCCCTCCTCCCCCCTGCTGCCCCTTCCCTCTCCTGCCCACCACAACAGACTTACCAGCTGGAGGCAGCTGTCTCCAGCATCGTAAAGTCAAAACCCCCATCAGAGCCTGGAAGCAGGGTCGCAATTTACAAAGGTTGTAAGTGCTGTTTGTTGCAACTCAAACTGTCATAAGTCGAGGACTGCATGTATGGAAGATGACCCCATTCCCCTCCTTCTTTTCAACTTCTGTTTGCTGCAAACCTTGCAAATCCGAATTGATTTGGAGGTTTCCGATTCAATTTGGATCTTTTAATGGGTCTCCTGATTCAGTTCAGGTTCAGAGAGTCGGCTGCCAAATTGGGCTGAATCGCGTTTGAATCGAATCGACTACTGAAGCTTTGCACAGCCCTAATATCCAGCCCAGGTCAGAAAAAAATGGCAGGTCTGGCTCCACCCTGGACCATGCAGCAGCGACAGTGGTGGCTCCAGCATCCACTGCATGCTTTGTTAGAGTTGGAGCTTTTGCCTCAGCAGCAGCCCCAGTTTAAGCTCCAGCTTGGGATGGAAGCAGGAAGGTAGGGCTACAGCAATGGAAACATTGCAAAGCAGCCAGAAGGCGACTGGGGCTTTATCAGCCCTTGCTCACCCTCCTGCCATTGGTCACCATTTCCACCACATCCAAGGGCCCCATATTCTGAAACAGGCTACTTCCCTGGCCATGCCCCACAATTTCAAGTAGCCAGCCTGCAGTCTAGCTGGCTAGATCCATTCCATGGGCCTTACATTTGACACCTCTGTGCTAGACTAAGATAGTATAGTAGGTATGTATACATATATAAGGTATGATATCATTTGCCTCTTAAGTTATTGCTTACCTCCTGCTTATCATTTTCATGGTGTTGTTCAAGCACAATTACCTGAGCTGAAAATAAGTTTATTTTATTGTACATTCCAGGTCATCAAGAAAATAACAACTTTTGTTCAGTTAATATTAACATTGGCCCAGGTGATTGTGAATGGTTTGTTGTTCCTGAAAACTATTGGGGTGTCATGAATGACTTCTGTGAAAAGTAAGTTTCATAAGCTGTCCTTGCATTCTCTGGGTATGTATGGGGGAAAGCCCTACCACTTCTAATTTTACCACTTTTACCACTTCTAATTTAATCAGAAAGGTCTTTAAATTGTGACAGCAAATTCTAGAGCTTTCATGGCTTTCTAACCAAAACAGCCAGCTTTGATTACCTCAGTTGCCCATGACAATTTCACTCCCAACAATTAGCAATTGTTAAGTCTTGATATAAATCTGTTTTTAAAACAAAAATAAAGGAGGGGCTTGTAGATAACTCTGGATTGGTAGTGGATATGGAAGTGTACACATCTAGGTCCAAAATTTGAATTCAGAGCACATCAGGAGGAATCCATAGCTATTGGTGATAGTTACTACTTCTGAGGCTGTTTAATGCCCAACATGTGTCTTATGACCTCACTCCCATTCAGGATATTTCCGCACTGCAAAAACCATCACAGTCATTGTAGGTCTTTTTAGTGCAGACCAACTTTCGCTCTTAAATGGTGGTCCTTCTATGTTACTTTAGAGAACCATTAGTAGAGCATTGAATTTGCACTTCCGTTTTTCATGATTAGTCTACTTGATAACTTGGGTTTATTTTAAATGTACACAAATGTTTGTGCAGTTTTAAATATCTGAAGATTGCAAGACACTGTGGTCAGATGACTGTCTGTATTGGGTTAATTTAGTGCACTACAAGTGAATTCAGGGGTGTCTTTTCTTAGGTATTTGTTATTTGAATATACGATAGAAGTACATTCATTTAGAAGGCTGCGCAAAATGAATCTTCATAGAAACAGAACAATGCTTTAAATAAAAAATGTCATCAGCATAGCAAACAAACATTTCATAAGTAGATTGGCCAGGGCCTATCACAGGGGGGGCCAGGAGGGCCGTTTGGCCTGGGCCTCTCAATCACAGAGGGCCGCAAATTTAGACTTTTGACGTTATCTCCAAATAAGGTTATACATACAGACACAGAGATACACTGACAGGATTGAAAGAAGAAGAAAAAAGCTAGAAAAGCACTTGTTAAATAAAAAAGGAACATTTATTACAAATTATTGCATTGTATTTTGAGCCTCAAAAAATGAAAGTGGCCCGCACCTCTCTCAACCTCTGAGAGGGCCTGAGGTTGACCATGCCAGTGCTGCTAAGAAGCAGCACTGAAATAAAAAAATGGGAGGCTAAAAGCCAAAACAGTTTAAAGAATTTGAGAGCCAGGCTCCTCTCTTTTCCCAAAAAGTAATACAAAAAAAAAAAGCTGTTGCCTTTATTCAAAGGCAACAGCTGTGATAAATAATGTGGCCAGGTTTAAGAATAGTCTGACAAGTCCATAAGATCACAGAGGACAGATGAAAAGGATTTCCAGCTCAAATGAGCCTTTATATTTAAACAATGAAAAAATGGTATTTTATGACACCCTTCAGGAGCATTTTTGAGCATGAAATGGAACAAAATAGGTAGCGATCAAATTATTGGTAAAAATGATTTGATAGTTCCTATTTTGAATTTGTTGGAAGAGAATTGTGTGGTCTTGGAACTCTTCAGCTGACCTGACTGCAATTTATAATATACAATATCAGGTATATAGCAGTTTATACATTGCTTATCTCAGCTGTGTATACTGCAGAGGTAAGGCAACAGCAAGTTACATCAGGGGACAAAAGCTTATCATTCAGAAAATAGATGTGTGGGCATCTGTAAAATAATAATGTGGTCACGTACATTTTAATCAATGATGTACTTTAATCTTTTAAAGGCTTAATATATTTTCTATCTGGTTCAACTAAAAGAAATCTTCATGACTTATTAAGTTAAGATAGTTTGAATGTGTAATGAAATTACCATATTTAGCCAAGTCCAAAACAACTTCAAATTTAAGATGTGAAACCAACACCCCCCCCCCCCCCAAATTAGGTTTTATAGATATATAGATATATGGAAAATGTATACATTTGTTATAATTTTCCAGGTATAGAATCTGGTGGGTAAAGAGGGTCAAGCAGGGGTGGGCAGAATGTGGGCCGGATGCAGCCCACCAAGCCACTCTATCCGGCCTGCGGGGCCCCTAAAACATTTAAGATTAATCTGCCCTGGGCTGTCTGTCATGTGGCCCTCGATGGCTTGCCAAAACTCAGTAAGCGGCCCTCCGCCCAAAATACTTGCCTGCCCTTGGGGTGGAAGAACAGGCAGCTGCTGTGGCTCTTATTCTGGCCCCGCTTGCCCTTCTCCTCCCCCCCATACTTAAATCTAAAACAAAGAGCTTTTTCCTCCCCATACTGAATGGGGGAGGATTCATCATGGACTCAAGTAAATATGGTAAATGAGATGTCATGGCTTTGTTTTTACAGTAGACTTTTATTTTCATATCTTTAATTTTAATAAAGTAATTTTTGGCATGCGAACAATAACTTTAATACCCAAATCAGCTGTTCCTACATAGCGGCCAGCTATAGTCAGTTTCAGTATAATGGTAACATTTGAAATACTTAGTTCTTCTACAGAGCTGTTTATTCAAACCTCTCTAACAGGTGTTTTCATTAAGTTAATCCTCTTGTTTGTACATATTTATAAGGTTCATACCATCTAGTTATGATGTAATGGTTCCCAAAGTAACAGACTGTACCTCAGTAACAACTATAGCCTTTCGTATGAGAGCGAAAGAAAGAGTTTAATTTGGAAGAGTATTACTACTTTAAAGGATAAAATCTGCGATTTTTTTGCTTCTGAGAAATCTTACAGAACCAATGAAATTGTAACTTGTATGCAGTCTAATGGTATTGTAGGATTGAGTTGATGTGTTCAGAGAGTTGCCTGTAGTCACCATAACAGCTACTAGCTAGGCCTCACTGCTCAGATTGCTAAGAAGTGCTAGTTGTGGTAGTACCATATTTCTCAAATCCAAGATGAGACTTTTTTCCCCTCCCAATGAGCGTTGGTAGCTGGGAGAGCCTCACCTTGGTTTCAAGTACCAGCCTGGGCCAAGCAGCAGCTTAGCTCCAGCTTTGGACCCAAGCTGAAGCCAGAGCTGAACCGTCACCTTCCCTGGAATGAAATTAGCTTTTGTTGGGGGAGGGAGCATATGGCTGGGGGAGTGGAGGGAGACTCGGGAGAGGGGGAAGAGGAAACCTGCAGCC